CTTTAGGGCGATGCCTGTAACACTCTGCTATTGCCTTCATATTAAATCATTTTTGTGAATAATTCTTTAACATATTTCTTCACATCATTATGCTGCTGCAAGCAGTGGTGAAATGGGCCGCGAGATTGAGATACAGACATTAGAGCCTCTTAATGCGCATTTTGTTTGGGTTTCCACCAGCGTGGAACTGAAAATAGAGAGGGCATAGAGTAATACATGAAACAGGAAAAGACCGCCGTGTAATCCCTTTATTTCAACAAAGTAACTGTATTCTAAATACCACCTTTTTAAACGGTAACTGTAACGGAATACAGTTACTCATAGTTTGTATTTTAAATATGTAACGGCGAGGCATGTGTTCCGTTACTCCCCAACACTGGCTATGAGTCTTTCATGGCGCATTGGAGGAATTCTGGCCCACTCGTCTTCATAAAAGTGTTTTTATGAAGACGACATTCATGCCACATTGGAGGGTTTTCAAGCATGAACCACCTGTTTAAGGTCATATAACCTAAGCATATCAACTGGATTCAGGTCACATTTTTTTTACACAGGGCCATGTAGGATTGATTTTTTTCCCCTAAATAATAAACACGTTTATTTAGAAACTGAAACTGAACATTTTTTCACATACAGTCTATGTACAAGCCTGCCTGTTCAGGCTATGAGCATGCATGTATCTGATGGGAGATATTTCTACCTTGTGACAGAAGCCAACACTCTCCTATAGGTGTCACTGAGTGGGTCTTCAGGCAGCAGCAGGGCAGCCATGCCTCCAGTGGCCAATGCTCCTCGCCGATGACACGTCTTAACCAACAGATCCATGTAGCTGCGCAGAAAATGCTTCTCCATGTTCACGTATTTATGGCGGTCAGGCAACAGGAAGGCTGGTAGGTGACCTGGAGAACTTCTTCAATTCAGTTTGACTTTTTGATCACGTCCTTTGTTGTACACTTTATGCACTGTGAAAAGTTGCTGCACTGTTAAGAGTTACTAAGGTTTCCACTAGGCTGCGGTTTAACACTTAAGTCCCAGGAAAAAA